TTAAAATAAGCCTCATATTTCACTTTTAATTTCATAATTGCACCTTTTTAAAAATCAGTTTACCATTTTTTTTATATGGACTAATGGGCTCAATAGGATTGTTTGATGAATGCATCATTTTTTCCCCCCACTCATCTGTTTTGATTTGACGCCATGTATGCTTTAGGTATTATTTGAATAACCCGACCTTCCATATCAGTGTCTGTCATTGACCTTCCTTGCATCTGGATTTATCATGTTTGGATGTAGAACGTACTGCTTTCCACGGTGTGTATAACTCACTGATCCCAAACTGTGTAACGTGTCAGTGAAGCCCTTAAACTATAGCTGTAAATATGAAATGAGTGTCAGCGTACAAACATTGCTTACTGTATGATATTGACTAACTGAAACGGTCCTTAAGATATGTTATAATTAAACATTGATGGAACTCTAGACTCTCGTGCGTTCAATGAGATGCTGGTTTTTGTGCGGTGTGCATCATTTTGTTTTGAATCATGTAAAAGTGATATTTCTAGATATCTGCAAGAGTATTTTTACTAGCTAAAATATCATTGAAGATATCAGTAATTATATTTTTACTAGTTGCAAAGCTAAATTTTAGATATAAGCTGCCTTCTTTGATATCAATAGTGAATTTGTTACTATTAAAAATGTCAATTCTGGATATCAAGATTTAATTTGATACTTGTTGAAATGTAAATTCTTGATATCAGTTAAATGTATTTCAACATGTTCATTTGTTATTTCTGAAATCTGAAAATAGATTTCTGAAATGGATATAAATTATGATATCTAAAATGTCTTTTTTATTAACAATCACATTCATGATATCAGAAATTAACATGGTCACTAATAACATACCAATTCTTGATATCAAATATTACAATTTTTAGTAACAATTCAATTGATACCAAGAATAGACATTTGCACTATTATCCACATGACCACGGATATAAAAAATAAATGCTTTTAGTAAGAATTGTATTTCTTATATGTAAAATGAAGGTTTTAGAAATCAATTCTTGTTATCAACAATTCAATTTGAATGGCAGTCTATGGTGACCTTTAACTAGTGAAAATACAATTACAGACATCAAGAACTATAATTCTTACTAGTGGAAATTGAATGAACATTTTAACTAGTGAACCAACATGTCAACATTCTGAATATTACCAATGAAGTTGTTGATATCAAGAATTTGGATTCCTGATATCAACAATTTATTTCTTGGTATGAACAATTCATGTCCGGTTGAGCAATAAAAGTAAAAACGGCATGCCAGAATAGCCGTTTTGTCTTTTATTGATAACAAGATAAAAATTCTTGATTGTATTTCTGCTAATGGTGGCATCATTGCTGATATCAAGAATTAACGTTACTAGTTGAAATGTAATATTGAGTTCAACAATTACCTTATTTGATATCAAGAACTGAATTGTTGCTATCAAGAATTAAATTGTGATATCAAATATATCCTGAGAATGAATAAAAGTCAAAACGGCTTGCCATATCCAGTTTTCCTCTGTTATTTATTGGTTTGACTCTTTCTCCCATTTTTGTTTTATGTAATTTGATGAATAGGTCTTACTGTTTTGTATGCATTCATATAATTTAGAAACCAGTTTTTTTTCTTTTATCCGGAAATATTGTGATCAAATTGTAATCCTTAAATTTTTTTACAATTTTTTTAGAGTAATTTCTAACTTGCAAGTATCTTTAAAAATCCTGCTTTTTTTCTATGCCAAATGTGTCTGATAAGGTCTGATAACTGTCCCTTAGAGGCCAATATGTTCGTTTTAAGGACTTCTAGATAGTGTGCTCCACAGCAATGATAAAATTTTGCATTAAGAAGAACCTTCCATGTTTGCAGCTTGTCGCTTCTACCTAAATCAACATTTTTTGACATCACCGCATACTTCAGTTTTTCATCTTTCAATCTTAAGACCAAACACGTTTTCTCTATATCTGACATGGCCCACTCCTTCAAGACTATTGCTTTAGACCAGGGGTGAGCAAACTCGGTCCTGGAGGGCCGGTGTCCTGCACAGTTTAGCTCCAACTCTAATCAAACACACCTGCTTATAGATTTCTAGTGATCTTGAAGACACTGATTAGTTTGTTCAGGTGTGTTTGACTAGTGTTGGAACAAAACTCTGCAGGGACACCGGCACTCGACGATCAAGTTTGCCCATCCCTGCTTTAGACCATTTCAATGTGCTCATCTCATTAGCCCATGAACATTTCCTGCTTGTTATCAAACTATTTCATAACTGTAACAATTCAATTATAGCTAGCTATCAGAACGTTATTTATCAGTATACGGCTCTTTTTGAATTGTCGGGAATGCATTGCACTGTAGTTTGATTTTAGCCACACGGGGCGTGCCGTTAATTGTCGTTATTATTATCAGTTGTGATTAACTCTCGTGTGGAGATTGAAGCTATAATCTAGTAATGTTCCATCACTGTGTTATTTTACTCTGACAACATAATTTCTTCACGCACAATTATCGACCTACAGGATCTGGTGGATCACTCGCTATCTAACTATCGGTAATGTTCAATGTGTGCTTTAAGCTAGCTAATAAATGCCGTTGGCTAAGAAGGCTAACGCGCCCATGTTAACGTTAACTTGGCCTTGACAGTTCTAACATTTAAAAAATTGTATGGGTATAAAATAATAATTAAAGACAAAACTAATGTTCACCTAAGGATACTGTCCACAAAAATTGACAGTCAAAAAGGTTTGGCAGAACCATTTCTGTCATAACGTATTTCACTTTCTGTAAATAGGTTAATGGATTGGCTTAACCTTTAAATATTTATAACTTAACTTAAATGTATTACAACTTTAAATATGAGTTGTTACAAAAGTATGTTCATTTTTATGACTTTGGGAGTTCAAACGTGTTTAAGCTGTCTAGTTTTTTAAATAAAGTTAAAAAAGGCTATAATAATTTTCCGAATATATTGTTCTAAAATACACTCATTTATAATACACTAAATTACATTTACGTCTAAGTGTGCTAAACGTGTGTTTAAACGGGTAATAACGTGGTGTTAATATTCTTTTATTTAATTATTATGTTGTTATATGCAAAGTATTACTGCAAAAAATATATATTAAATTAGTATATTCTGTTTAGTTGTATAATTTGTTTAGCCTTGCATACCGGGTTTAATACAAAGCACATACTGTTTGCAAGGCTGAACAATCTAACGTTACATGTAACGGATCTTAAGTTGAAGCGCGTTTCGTCGTTGTAAAACGCGCTTCAGCTTATGAGACATGTATGTGCAATTTATTAATGTTGATATGTACACATATTAATGATTTAAAGGTGGACATCTTAGAAAACTAAGCTAATCTTCGGATTCTAAATAGAACGCGTTCTAATGACGTGAGAGCTGCGGCAGGGTTATATGCACGTACTTTATTAGAATTCTTTGTTGGGTGTTCTGGCGTTGGTAGTGGTTAGTGGTTTTGTGCGATTTGCGATTTCTCGATTGATTTACGGTTATTGATTCACGGTTTTTGACACTTTTTTCGGACTTCGACTACGGCTTTGGATTTGCGATTTCATTTTGACACTCGGATACGGTTTTGGATTCCCCGGTAACGACCCTTTTCTTCTGACTTCGACTGACGGCTTTGAACACCCCTTGGATTTGGTTGCTCGGCAAAACCCCCATAATGGGAGTTTTATCCGTGTGTGTAAGTATAAACATTCACACATACTATTAGGCCTACTAGTAGTTCACAAATGCTTGCTGTTAGTAAGGAATGAATGTGTGAGTGGAGAAAAATAATTTACTTAGTGTTTAAATGTACACTCTTAGTTGCTAATAATTCACATTCATTAGACAGCTGTATGTGCACTCACTTTCTCATTTCTCATTCTTAACCCTCTTTCTTGTGCAGGAGGAAGCACCGAGCAAGGTGTTTGGTGTTTCCTTGTCACATCTGAGGAAGACCGGACAGATGAGACAGGGGCTTCCTCTGGCCTTCACACACCTGGTGGGCTTCCTCGAGAAGGATGGTGAGTGCTGGCTTGGCATTTGACGGTGTTTCCAAGTGTTTGTCACGAATGCTGAGACTGTATTTGTGAAATATGTGTTCAGGCCTCAGTACCAGAGGCCTGTTCAGGGTTGGTGGTACAGTATTGCGCCAGTATGAACTGAGGAAATGTTTTGATCGCGGAGGCTTCCCAAAGATGAGCATTGAGGATGTTCATTCCTCAGCCTACGTCTTGAAACATTTCCTCAGGACTCTTCCAGGTGGTCTCATTCCAGAGCCATTCAGGATTGAACTGCTGGAAGTGTTCAGGAGTAAGTGAAGGTTTTGGGAGCTATCAAAATAGTTTTATCAAATTGTTTAACTCTGGAAATATTTTATCTTGCAGTGTTCAGACTTAGCAAACGTCACAAGGCAGTGAAGAAAATACTGGATACCATTCCAGAGGAAAATTACAACATCCTCTGCTTTCTAACGTTCTTCCTGTCCCGAGTGGCTGCCGAGAGTCATGCCAACCGCATGACCACCACCAACCTGTCCATAGAATTTGGGCCGATCCTCTTTCAGTAAGTGTTTGTATATCTGTATTCATCTGACGGTGTCTGTGCATTATGACATAACTTAAAGTCTGTGTGAAATGGAGCTGTCAGTCATAATAGATAGATGGGTGTCTGGTACATTTATTAATGTAACATGTTTTTGTTATGTGTGTGTAGTGTTCCTCAAGGCCCCACAAAGCTTGAGGAAGAGGAGATGTGTATCAGCTTCACAGAGTACATGCTGGACAACCTCAGGCATCTACTGCCCAATATGTACCCTCAAGCATCTGCCACCAACATGGCAGTAAGTTTATACTTGTGTTTGTTTCAAATAAAACCATCTGTGTGTGTGTGACAGGTTTTTGAATTGAATCAGAATGGTGTTCAACTGATGAAAACGATGATAGATCATTATTTTGGTTTGGTTTACTTTGTGTGTTTGAGGAGGGAGACAGTGTGTCTGAGGCGGGAGGGGACTTCACTCCTGAAAAGTGTGTCCAGCAGGTGCTTCTCACAGAGACCAGGTACAGATTCTGAACACAAACACACACTACAGACTGATACTGCTCACATACCTCATATATACCCCAATAAATGTACACACATAGGTTTATATTGATGTATTGTGGAATGCTAATCATCCATATTCATGCTTGTGATGTGTTTTTTTTTAAAGCTCAAAGCCACCAAAAATTGGGCAACTTGGGCGTCTGAAAAGACGATTTTTGCATTTTTGGCAAAAAATTGGCTCCCGCAATGACAGGCGCAAAGTGGAAGAGAGTGAACAACCCTCTGGGGCTGGTGATGTTCAATGCAAGTCTCCACAGCCAGTGAGAGACTGAGGGATGGTGAGAGTCACCAGTAAATAAAGCGGTCGGTGAGGGTCACCAGAAGGCACAGACGTTGGTGAGGGTCACCAAGTGAAACTGAGAGCTGGTAAGGGTCGCCAGAAGTCAATGGAGCCGATGAGGTAAACTGAAAGTGAAGCTGTGGTGAGGATTTCTGAATGAGACCAGTGCGATGCAGTGTGGTGATGCTCATCAGAAAGCAATGCGTGCTGTTGAGGATCACTGGAGCTGCTGGATGTGAGGTGCAATCACAGATTTGATTATGAAGACAAAGACAAGGCAGATGCTGATTCTGAATCTGAAGCTGTCTGTAATAAAGCTTGTCATCTTCAGTCAGTTGGTGTCTCTCTCTTTCTTTATGTCTGCATACTGTATACGTATGGTTTTTTGTACTCAAATGTTCATATCCTTAAATGGATTTACAACATCATAAACATGGGTGTTACAAAACCGTTCACATAAGAACACCCTAAACCTGATAAATTAACAGCAACTAACTGCATTGATATTTCAAGTGTGCAAAATTAAAAGTATAAATGTTTTATCATGATATATTTTAATTAACTCATATTTAATATTTGGATTCATTATTTCTAGCTTTTAATTTAAGTTCTGAAACCACCCTAATTATGGCATTGGGTTTTACACAAAAATAGACTGTAGCATCATGAACAACATTTGTTAGTCTGCTATTGAAATTCAACATAAATAAATACAATAATAATGATGAAATCATGTCAATCGTTGCAACTATTACCTCAAATACAGTGAGTAACACGAGTAACACTGTCACCGATACTCATTGTGCAGAAAATCCCTGTCATTCACTATTAATTTAGTCTCATGTTTAGTGGGTGTGTCAAAAATGTCCAATCAGCAGCAATGTGTATATAAAGCACATGCTATAAAGATCATACAACTTGTTTTGGATGTAAGTGGATTATCCTTCACCTGAAATGAATTATCATGTCATCCATAAGTGCAAAGCTAATGTTGGATCACAATAATTAATTTCCAATTCGCCTTTACTCAATATGATATTCTCATTCTAGATGGCAAAAGGACATTGACTGTAACATCAATCATATATTGCAGTAATATATTGCTTGTAAAATCAAAAGAAAGTTTTTTAGACATTTGTATCAATATGTTAGTTCTTTTTTCATAACTTTTTTTATTTTCAAGAGGAAAAAAATGACAGAAGGGGAAAAATAGAAACAAAAACAAGGAACTAAGCAGTTGTCATATGGGTTATAAAATAAAGTCATAATACATTTGAAGTACATTATCACAAATTGTTTACAATTAGTTTGTCACTAGTGACAATGTTAATTTCTGATATCATTTATTCATTCATTCATTTTTTTTGGCTTAGTCCAGCACGTCTTTTACGCAGCGGATGCCCTTCCAGCCGCAACCCTTCACTGGGAAACTCATTCACACTCATAAACTATGGACAATTTAGCCTACCCAATTCACCTGTACTGCATGTCTTTGGACTGTGGGGGAAAACGGAGCACCCGGAGGATACATGCAAACTCCACACAGAAATGCCAACTGACCCAGCCGAGGCTCGAAATAGCGACCTTCTTGCTGTGAGCCGACAGCACTACCCACTGCGCCACTGCGTCTCCTAATTTCTGATATCATGAATGTAATTGTTATTAGTCAAATTAATAATTGTTGACATAAAAAATTTGTTTCCTAATTGTTGATATCAGAAATACATTTTTAGATATTAGAAATAAAAAATGTAACATGTTGAAATATAATTGCAGATATCAAGAATTAACATTTCAACAAGTGAAATTAAGTTCTTGATATCAGGAATAGACATTTTTACTAGTAACAATATAATTCTTGAGATCAACAATTTAGTTTCTGATATCAGGAATGCAGACTGTTGATATCAACAATTTACTTGTTGATATCAAGAATTTAAATTTTGATATCAAAACTGCATATCCTGAGAATAAATTAAGTCAAAACGGCTGAACATTATTTTTTGATGTCAACAATTACATTTTTGATATTAAAAAAGCTGATTTTTGATATCAGGAATTGCATTACCACTAGTACAAACCTGAATTCTTGATATCAAAAATGACGTCATTACTCAGAGGAAAACATTCATGATATCAAAAATGAAATTTTAACTAGTAATAAACATATTTCTTGATAACTGTAACTTAATTTTTATTAACTAATTATTTTTAAAACTACATTTAAGAATCTGTTAAACCAAAATAACAACGTAGTAAGGTAGTTAACCCAAAATACAAATAATTTGGTTATTTATTTACTCCTACCTTGTTTAAAAGCTCACTTTCTTTGACAACCTTGCCTTGCCATAAAGTAGCGTTGTGGAAGAGAGCTGCGTGAAGCTTCTTCAGAATATCTCATTTTGTGCTTCACGTGAAGAAACTCAACCTACTTATTTAGAAAACAAATGTGAGTGAATAATTAAGGGCAAATTAATATTATTCAATGTAAAGCCATTCACTAGAACTATGGCAGTGTTTGATTTCATGGTGTTACATGAGATAAAGATTCTCTCTCGCCACAGCAGAGGGAGCAAACCCGCCGCGGCTGCAGAGCTCAGACTCCTCATCCCGAGCGCTGGTCATGTGACTCTCCCATCGGTAGGGATTTCTCTCTCGGCATGGCGGAGGTGATGGAGCTCGGTCTGCTTTCTAACACCAGTCGTTATACACTGTGAGGAGGACACGGGTGTTTTTGTTGTCGGGAAACCGCTCTGCGCCTTTCTTTCCTCGCGGTTTTGGGCCATAATGGCGGAGCGCGGTGTGGATGTGTCCGCTCTCCCGCAAGAGGTCCGAGAGCAGCTCGCTGAACTGGACCTGGAGCTGTCTGAGGGTAAGCCTTTAAACAACGGCGACGCTTCTCCCTTGTCTTAATGTGTGCTTTTAGATGGATATGTGTTGATTTGTCAGGATCAGTCGTGCATCCTCGGTGCGAGCATCACACAGAGAGAGGAAGAGAGAGAGACGCACACACATACAGGTTCCGTGATGGTGATGATGCTTCAATGTCGCCGCCGCTCGCGGAAACATACTGACCTCTTTTTCAGCACCTCATTGCTTTGACGTCGCGTTTTTCGCATTTGAAACCTATATTCCGCTTGGTGTTTCTTTTTAATTGTTCTGACATCGCCTTAAAAGCTTTGGTTATCTGCTGTTACATTGTGTAAAACAAAAACACAGTGTCTGTGAAGCATATTTATGTGCTTATTTACAGGCCACGGTGATTCTGCATATGTGTTCTCCATGACTTGACCAACTAGCAGAGTTTAACGGTAGTTTTGCATTTGGTAGTTATTGCTAAGTTAGCCTAATGAACACATATTTAAATGAGTAAACAATAGCTTTAGTAATAGTCACTCGCTCTCTATTTCTATAACCCATATTGCTGATGTTATAGTTTATAGGAAATCAATAATGGGTATACTAAAATTCATCCAAAGAATCAATGCTTTATTAATGAACGAAGTGCTTCACACATTGACTGTGCTATTAATAGACATACATACCTTTTTTCTTCATAAACAATCATCAACACCCATGTAGATTCAATGAGAGGTCATGTATGGCAAGCTAATTTAACATTCAGGGTGGTTTAATTAGTTGGTACTTCACTAGCACTTATTTCTTTCAACTAATAAGTGAATACTAACTTGTGTTTTACTAGTATACATAAGACGCTGTTACTTATTCCTTTTCAAGTAATCTTGAATTTTACCAATGTTTATGGTTTATTATTACAGTATTTGTTAATTAAGATATACATTATGATTAGTAAATTACAACATAAACATAAACTAGGGATGCTCCTATCAGGATTTTTGCAATTGAGACCGAGTACTGATTCTTTGTCATAATGATCGGCCGATACAGAGTACCAATTCTCATTTTTTATAATGCATAAAACACATTTTCCCTCTAAAATCTCTTCTTACCTAAGAGAATAAACTAAGGATGTTGCATATAATGCCTTAAACACGTCACTTATAAGCATTTAGGTGTGAACATGTCACAGCTTTACAGAACATAATAGATAACACAGACAAAAAAAATGGTGAGATGACTAACAATGCAATTTGGAAACAACATGTCTGAATCAAGAAACATTTTGAAGAGCATATTTAATGCATAAGAAGCTAAAATGCAAACCTATAAATCCATTACTTCTTCACTAAAAGGAAATAGGCCTATAAACTACTGTCAGGGCGGATCTAGTCATTTGGTTGGCCCTAAGCAATTCCAGCCATGCTGCCTAAAAGTCCTGAAATGCACCCTTTCTACTTTTATTTCATTTTTATTTATTTAGCTGGTTTTTTATATCACTCAAACTTCTTTTCTACATTGTATTTTAATGCAATCTTTAAATTTAAAAATTGATTTTAAAATAAAAAATGTATAATTTTGACTGCTGGACTGCTTCATGACTGGAACAATTTGTGCAGATGTAATAATAATATTTTATTTTATAATACATAACAACATTATTATATTGAAATTAAATTTTAATTTATGTTAAATAAAATTTAATTATGCTAGAATTTCATTTGTTTGACTTTCATCATACAAAATATGATAGAAAACAACATTATATAAAGTTTATAGGCATAATTTATACTTCTAGATATTTAAGCGGCCACTTACCTCGCTTAATATAATTATAAGTATAATATAATATAATATAATATAATATAATATTATAAGTAAACTTGCAATATTGTCAAAAACACAGAATTTTCAGTTGTTATATGTAAAAAGGCCTAAATACATGCAATGTCATTCAAATATTTTGCTGATCTCCAAGTAACACAAACACCTGCGATCGGTTCATGAGATCAGATCAGCGAGTACGGATTGAGTCATAAATATGATTATGGGCCGATAGTGAACTTTGGCCGATTGATCTGAGCATCCCTAATGGAAACGTAAATGACGTTTCTGTGTGTACTATTAAGCATTAAATATGCCTTCACAACTTGTCAGAATTACCGTAATCACAGGATTTTGACTAGTAAAAGAACTCCAATTAATTCCAATTCTTTTTAATTGATATTTTTGAAAGCTGTCTTGTACCATGTGACTGCTCCACCACGTTATAATTGCAAATTCTTTTTGGTGTGTATGATATCCATAGAAATGCATAATTCCATGTCTGAGGACAAAATATCTCAAAATATGATGTCATGTGTCATCTCCAAGTAATATACATACAGCATTATTTCTGATTATGCAAGCATTGATTTCTTATCGAATTTGGTCGTTATTTATAAGTAAAAATGTTCTCCCTGTGTTCGCGTGGGT